CTCCATGTTCTCCCCGTGCAGCGTGGGTTCTCTCCGGGTTCTCCGGCTTCCTCCCACAGTCCACAAACATGCTGAGGTTAATTGGTGATTCTAAACTGTCCGTAGGTGTGAATGTGAGTGTGCTTGGTTGTCTGTCTCTAAGTGTAGCCCTGTGATAGACTGGTTACCTGTCCAGGTGTCCTTTGGGATAGACTCCAGCCCCCCACGAGCCTGGTGAGGATCAAGCGGTGTATAGATGATGGATGGATGTTCTCTTGGTACGTCTCTTTGCACATGCATAGAGCAACAAACTTTGCATTCTGAGGTCGGACAGGTGGTACTGACATGAGCTGCAGGACACTTTATTGCCGATGTGGTCTCTGTTTTCAGTCAGTGTTTGCTTTTGTTCATGTTACACAACCACCTGCTTAGATCTAGGAAGCGATTATCTTTTGGTTACCACAAAGCCTGGTTGTTTACCGAGTTTCTGGGTTTGCTCTTTGTTTTCAGACTGGTAGTCCTGAGCCTAAACCCACTCTGAGTCTTTATGGCGCTGCAGAATACAACCCTCTTCACCTATGCAAATCCTGTCAACAAACATTGGCGTGTAAAGTCGGTGCATTCCCAGTTTAACATGTGTTTAGAATGCATATACAGCACAACTATTCATCCTGATATAACTGCACAATCTTGACCGTTTGGGGCCGTTTTATTTATCTTTGCCACATTATCCTTTCTGACCAGTCGCATTTACAAACTGAATCTGTACTTACAGCTAAGATCTACCAACTCCAGTCTTTTCTCACCATGTTCCTCTTGCCTCTGGAAGTGGGGTCATAGTTTAGAATAAGTCTAAGTTAATATCTCAGGTGTAAATATGGCGGCTCATACAGAAACATCCTCAGCTCACTTAGCGGCACTTCTGCTTCTAAAACTCTGACCTCGCCATCCAAAGGCTCTTGAACGCACTAAAAACACGCCGACGCCGGCTTCAGCAAACCAGCAACAGAGCGCGACGGGATCAAAAACATTACCTGCACTGTATCTGGCTCCATTGCCTCCATCGACCATTAGTTTTGAATATGCCTTTCAGAGTAGCCACCTTCATTTGTTTATGTGCAAACGTGTACAGGCCCGTGTTTGCGTGTTCTGTTGGTTTTCCCCGGAGCTCACAGACTCACGATGAGGATGATGATGATGATGGTGGTGATGAAGGTGCAGGAGATGCAGAAACGTGTTGTGTAAAGCCTCTCAGCGTGGCCCCGTCACCCTCCTGCGTCTTCTCACCTCCCTCCGCTCCCATCCTTCTGCTATTGACCATGTTGCACATTATAAATCAACTGCGAGTCGGGCTACCTTGCAAGTACCCTAATGAAAGCTCATTTATAAAGTGGCTAAATGGTCCTGACAAAAGTCCTAATGAGGAAATCAATAATTCAGTGATTGTTACTCTGCTTATACTAATACGTTCCTCTTGTAGTGCTTTGATTCCAGCTAAGAAAAGGCCATTTTTTATTGTGTTCAGTTCTGCGTGTCAGCACTGTTGTAGGTTTTTTTTTTCTCTCTCGCTCCTTGAATCTTTAAGATAAATTATGTGCTGTTGTCTGTTTTTTTTTCTTTTTCTTCGAGGGATCAAAAGCCGGCTGTAATCTGTGCCTCAGTGTTAACCTGAAATCCCCTTTTGTTGAGAAATGAAGGAGAGAATTTTGACTTGAATTGTTAAACAGAAAAAGTCAAATGGCACCATCACCCATCCATACCATGATTAATGAAGATCAAATCTAAGTATACATATAAAGAAGATGATAAACAGCTGTCAAGGTTTGATGGTTTGGCCGTTGAAATGGTTGAAATCCCCTCTGTCCCACCGTTAGTGAACCTCCCTGCAGTATTTTTCATTGAGAGGTTTGGATATCCTCCAACAGACACGTTTCGTTTAGTTGTTGGCCTCAGATCAGGGGCGGGTGGCAAAAGTCAGGTGTGAATTCTTCAGTATCTGCAGCCTGACTGCATCACTAGTTCTTTACAAGTCTTTACAAAATCTGTAAATTGTCAATGCAAACAGTCGGATCTATTTCATTGTATTCAGCAGTTTTGAAGCTGCTTCACGTGATTGGAATCATCGTATGTCGTTTGTTTTAAAAGTTGTGCATGAAAGTTGTCTGAAGGTCACTCCACACTCCTGATACTTGTCGGTTTTAAAGCTGTTGCTCTTACGTTTTGCATATTTCTCACTGCTTTGGTTGAACGGTTGTAGGCATCAAAACAATTATGTGGCTGTTGATTCATGTTGGTACAATCATATGTGAAAGACCGACTGTCTTTAAATTTAAAGAATAGATTAAAGTTTTTAAATTTAAATGGGGGGTCTGTGGTTCTGGAGAAAGATCAGTCATATTTAGTTTTTAACTTGCTGCTGCTGCTACCTCCTTTCCGATAAGCAACGACCTCCAGGGGGGCAATCTGAAATGCCAAAAACTGCAGTTCCTTGAATGGCCACTTGAGGCTGATTCCAAAGGTGAGTTGATTCCACCAGACCGCCGTGTTGAGTTGGCGATTTTATAGAAGAAACTAACAAGTTTACAGCCTGGAACATGAAACGGTTTCGGTCTCTGTAACTCATTTTCATAGTCACGATAACTTTACTTATTTTTATGCAGCTCACCATTACTGCTATGAGGGGCAGGTTGATACCATCAGCTCACCTCAGCTCCACTTGTGCTCATTATTTGTTTCGCCAGCAGATAGAAGGAGTCAGGCACGACCATGATGAACCTTAAGACCGCTGTTTAGGAGACCTATGGGTGATTTCATGGAGGTTTAGTCCATCTTTATATACAACCTATGCTATCCCCCCAGGTGAAAAAAATCTTCTGATTTATTCCAAAAAGGGCAATATTTCTACTTAGCTGTTTCCATGGTGGGCTGCAAGGTGGCGCAGTTGGTAGCACCGTTGCCTTGCAAACCCAAAAACATGTTGAGGCTAATTGGTGATTCTTGTAGCCCTGTGATAGACTGGTTACCTGTCCAGGTGAACCTGCCTTCACCCTGAGTCAGCTGGGATAGACTCCAGCCCCTCATGACCCTAGTGAGGATTAGTATAGATAATGGATGGATGGATGGATGGATGTTTCCATGGCTCATGAAAGTAATTATTCAAGTAGTATTACGGTTTAATGCATATGTGGTCCATTTGATGGGCTGAATCTCCAGATGTGTTATTTATCAAGCTAAAGTAAAAACTATGGAAAACAGCTGGAGCCACTTGTGCCATCAAGCTTCTTGAGTTTTCCACCAGCGGCAGACTTTGTTTGAACAGTGCGTCCCAATTTTCATTCCTTCAGCAACCTTCTTGAGAAGCTTGTAATATTTGTCCAAACCAGTTGATATCCAAGCGTTTAAAGGTGGGCCTGTTTGTCCCTCCGAACAGATATGTTGGTTTTTCTTTTGCATCTCAACTCAACCTTACAAACTGCTGGCGATCAGACCGCGAACAGGCAAACTGCAGTGAAAACCCTCATTAAAATGCACATTTTGTCTACGTGTCCAAAGAACATTTCCAAAACACACATAACACCAACATGTCCCACTTGTCTTATTTGGAAAACGCTGCATTTGGAATGAGGCCTACTTCAGAAAAGCCAAATACTGTTTATCGAATCCTAAGTAATGGTGAAATACTAGCGTGCATGCAAACTAAGTAAATGTTTTATCTGTGCGGTCGTGAGAGGGTATAATGTAGCGCAGCAGTGTGCAGACAGATGGTGACTCACCCCTGCAAGGTCATTGATCATCAGCCTTAGCAATGGGAGTGTGTGCTGTAGGAAGCCTGGGGAGCAGCACCCCAGTCCTCTGTTAATTGCGGGGGCAGGTAGATTACCCTCTCATGCCCCTCCCTGGGCCTTAATGTTGGGCATGGGTACCCACTGGCCACCCCATGCGCTCCCTCAGATGCCTCTTTAACAAGCTTTAGATTCATCATTATGCTTCAATATGTGATTAATGAAGCACATTATGCATTCTTTGGAGATTAATGACTGTGTGATTTTGGTCGGCGGTAAACATTAGAGGTGTATTTCCTGTGTGGATTAGATTCTTTTTTTAAGCATGAATCAAACACACCTTTATGGAGCGGTCTTCTGTTTTCTTTTTTATTTCAGATATATATAATCTCAGCATATAAGGGACTAGAGACAGAGCGCACAAGCTTCAGATTTTGATGTGGGGAAAACACTCCCATGTTTCCTTTTTTCTTGGTCCCTTTGCACTTCCTGTTGTTTTTTTTGTTTTTTTTCAGAACAAAGAATAAGCTGTGGTACTTTGAGTTCGGCACTTCGGAGACCTTCTCGGCCACATGTAAGAAGCTCCACGACTTTCTGGAGGTTGAGGTAAATCAAACCGTGTGTTTTCTGTTTGACCAAGACTAGAAAAGAAGCAAAGGCAAAAGACAACATTTAGAAAGTCGCTGCTTCTATCGAGGCAGTGACATATTCTCTATAATAATAATAATAAGAGTATTTGATATGCACACAGGTAGACGTGCCACTAAAAAAAAATATATTCTGGTCATCCCCTGTTCCATAAATAGCACAAATTTATACTAGTTTCAGATTCACCCAGGCAAAGTGTTGATGTGTGAAGGCTATCTGTGCACCTCCCCACCCGCCTCTCACAGAACCTCAGTTCAACACGCAGGTAATTAGCCCTACATGACCCCGCTGTGTGTGATATTGAGTGATAATGAAGATGGTGTCTATACAATTCATCTTCCCCCTTCTCAGAGCCATCCACACAGTGCAAAGGTCTTTATTAATTAGTGCTGGATAAGTACCTACAGCACTGTAAAGGAGCAGGTATGGAGATGATGATGATCCCCGGTGTTATTTTTACAGTGCTAGAGGACGACTGCAAAGAGCCGGGGGTTTGATCTCGTTCTGGTCGACTGTTTTCTGCTCAATGAGGTCAAACTGACAGAAGCTGAGACAGATTCCGTCTTGGGCTTCGGCTAAAGCTTAGATGGTGGAACAAGCTTAAATTAAGTAGTACGAATTCACACTCAGGCTCAAAAAAGAAGAGATTCAGGTTGTACAGACAAAAACATATTTAGGTTAGAACAGAAAGATTCAAGTTCCTGCTCCAGCTTCCATTTCATCTAATTTATTATTGTGTGATTAACTCAATTCTATCTTTATCGCCGTTTTTTTTTCTCTCCTCTCTGAAAGTGCGATGGCGTTACTCTGGACCTCAGCAGCATCTCCTTGGAAGGCATTGCCATTCTCAACATTCCCAGCATGCACGGCGGCTCCAACCTCTGGGGAGAGAGCAAGAAAAGGAGGGGCAACCGCAAAGGAGGGAAAAAGGGCCAAGACAAAAGGACGCCGGTGCTCGACCCCAAAGAACTCATGTTTGCAGTTCAAGGTAGCGTTAACACGACAATGCATTCGATTGTTTTACAGGTGTTGGGCCGAGTCGTGCCCTGAATTATCTTATCATTAAACAGATCATTGCTTTTAAGCCACACTTACAGCGTATAGTATCTCAGCAACTGGGTGGTCAAGGCCAACCTCGATCTGTTATCAAAACACATTCTGTTGCCATTGTTTAAACCTTGAAGAAGCTTTCAAGTTGTACTATAACTAAAATGGATATATCCATTTTAGTTGCACCAGAACCCTCATGGTAAAGATGGAGCAAGTCGATCTACCTTCCAATCCTCGCCCGTGGTCATGGGCAGTGAACAAACCAATGAGATTGCAGATCCAATGGCTGAAATCAGTTTCCTCTGTGGGATGGCTGGGATAAGGCTTAGAGACTGGGCGAGGAGCTTGGACATCTGGAGGGAGCTTAGAGTAGAATCGAAAGGAACCAGCTGAGGTGGTTTAAGCATCTGATCAGGATGACTCCTGGGTGGTTTCCATTGGAGGTTTTCCAGGCACATCCAACTGGGAGGAGACTACAGGGTAGATACTGATGTGGTCTGGGAAGACCCTGGAAGTGTTGATGTTGGCTGGCTGGATGGATGGATGGATGGATGGATGGATGGATGGATGGATGGATGGATGGATGGATGGATGGATTGATAAGTGGATGGATGGATGGATGGATGGATGGATGGATGGATGGATATGGATAGATAGATGGATGGATGGATGGATGGATGGATGGATGGATATATGGATGGATATATGGAGGATGGATATGTAGATGGATGGATGGATGGATGGATGGATGGATGGATATGTGGGTGGATCATTGCTGTGCTTTATTTCCGTTTCATCAGCTTGGGTAGAGTTGCAGTTGAGTTTTTTTTGTTTTGTTTTGTTTTAGAATAGCTTCAAACCATCCCTCACTCGTTGCTCGTCTTCAGCTTTGATCCAGTGCAAGTAAAAGTGTCAATTTGCGAATCCATTCTCCAGCTCTCACTCTGGTCTAATGATGAGGACAGAGAGGCTTATTGTCTTTCAAGATTCTCCCAAGTGTCTCTTATTCATGAGCCCTAGCTTGTTCTGTACTGACTAAATTTAGGGATGTGTTTTCAGGAGGGAATTTCAAAGACTAGCCCAGGGCCTAACGGTTTAAACACAGACGATGTGTTTAACATTGTGTCAGGAATCTCGACACACGATGATGGAACCTGTGAGTCATCAGCAGCACTTTCAAAGTCCCGCATGCTGCAGTGTACAGTCGGTTTGTGCTACCAGAGAATAATGCTGTAAGTTAATAATGTCTGGCAGTATAGGAGGGTGTTTCTCCTAAAGCCCACATCACACACAGTCAGACTGTGTCCTTGCTCCTATCACATAGATCAAAGACTAAACTTTTGGCCAAACTTTTCCAGAGCGCATTAATATTTCACTGATGACAAGGTGAATCACAGCCAGCAGGTTTTGTTTGCAAAGAAGAGGTACAATCATGTCACTGTTTGGAACTGTCACTTGTGTATTAATGGTGTGTGCAGGCGCCAGTGGACAGGCTCAGTTAATAGGAGCGGACTGGGTGGGGTGTTGGGCATACCCCTGAATCCATTTACGTCAAAAGGAAGCCCATCAATGGGGAACGTGTGAATGAATGAGTCAGCTAGGGTAACTGGTGAAATGTTGTGAACCACTTAAACGACTTATCAGAAACCAGCAGTACAGTAAGTTTTCCAGTCCAAAGTGGAGCGAGGTACTGCATTCAGAATGTAGTTTTTTAAAAAGCACAAATATTCCATGTTGTGATAAAGGAGCAGATGTGAGTTTTACTGCTCAAACTAGTAGCGTGAGGGTCTGTCCTGCACTGAAGTATCACAACAAGTATTAGATCCATTACCATGAAATACTACTGAAGATGAATACCAACAACTGTCCTGTAGCTTCACAAACAGGTCAAATTCAGCTATAATTTATCCACCACTCTGTGCTCAGTTAACTCTTTTGGCAAATACATAATTACAGAAACACTTACAGGACGTTCTTATATCTCACAGTATTGTTTTCTTTTTCTTGTGATCCGTTCTATCCCTACTTTGGAGAAACGTTCCCCTTCCTAGCTCCCCCACTTCTAGTTGCTGTGTCCATCTCTGTTGCG